ACCAGCTGCCAATCCTGCAGCAGCACTATGAGGAGACAGCGGGATTTAAAGGCTGTCTTAATCAATAAATAAATAAAATTATACCTGTTGCCCCAATTGAACGGACACAGTGATGCCCAACAATGCCCAGCACAGACAAGGCCAATCACCATCGGGGACTAGGAGAGCAGTAGTTAGATTTTTGTGAATGAATGAATGGGGAGAGGAGTATTACCAGAGACAGGTCAGTAGTACGGAACCGATCAGGGACAGGAGCTGCAGTCCAGTGGCAACCTTCCCGAGGGTCTGGAGAGTAAGGAGCTGGCTCACCCCGGACGAAGACATATGCCCGGCGGTGACTCAGGCTGGGGGCAGAACCACCCCAGACGAAGGTAATGTCTGGCGGCAGCAAGAGACAAGGGAAGGACAGGTCACCGTAGAACAGCAGACCGAGGGTGTGAAAACCGGTGCAGAACTCCACAGGCAGAGGGAACAGAGGACCACCCCGGACGGACATCAATGCCCGGCGGTGGTGCAAGACGAATAACCACCCCAGGCGGAGTTTCTTGCCTGGCGGTGGTTCCAGGTAACAGGTGCAAGAGGTAGGCAGTGAGGAAGGCAAATCGGCACACACAAAAAAAACTTGTGGGAAAAAAGGCAATCCGCTTAGTCCATTAGTGGCTGCTTCATTTTGTCACGTGGTGAACTGAGTGAGGACTCAAATGCAGGAGTGCCAAAATAAAGCTTTTAATAAAACAAAGTCCAAGGCAAAAAACAAACTCCAGAAATCCAAAGTAACCAGGACAGAACATGACAAAACAATCAAGCAGCAACAAGGGGAGAGAAGCAAAGGGTACATATAGACACAGACACAGGTGAAACACATCAGGGCGGGGCACACAATCAAGACAGGGGAAAACAGCACTGGAAGTCAAACTGAAACAAAACCACAGAACTCATTTCAAAATAAAAGCAAAATACACAATCAAAAGCCACACCATGACAGTCTTGTTCCTCTGCGCTTCCCGGTTCTATCGTTCTATGGTCACGCCATGCATGTGAAAATCCATGGATTTTCATCATGATAATCATAGATTATCCATATTGGGAGATGTTAGCTCCGTCCCAACAGTGGGTGTGTGTGGGGGGGCGATAGCTTCGTGGGTGCGGGGAGGGGAGGAGAAAGAGCGAGGCCAACGAGTCCGCGGCTTCAAAATCCCAAAGTCAGTTAGTGCAGCTTTAAGTTGTTGTTGTTGTCCTTGTTCGAGCTGTGCGGGCAGACAGCCGGATCTTGGTAGATTTGCAGTGGTGCAATTGCTGTTTTGACCAGTAGGGTGGACTAGACTAATCATTTGTTAAATTAACCACACAAAAAAAACAACCAATACCAATCGATAATCGTCTGCTGCTGTCAGACTGTACAACGAACAATGAGGACTAACAAATACTAAAGACCTGACCTCACATGTCACTGAACGTCAGAATGTCATTTTACTGAGTCACTGCTGACATGTACAGATATATACATACTACTATATATTACTGCACTAACATATACAGGCATCACAAAGGATTAACGCACTTGTTCTGTTGGTGGGAGGGGAGGAGAAGTGAGAGAGAAGCTTAAAAAGGCAAATCAGTCGTTTCTCTGACAGAGCTGATGAGCTGAACAGGTGAGGCTGACGTCTGTATCTCCTTCTGCTGCGATAGAAACGACAACACAAGCTACCTTCAATGTCATGCTTTGAGGTCGGGGCTCGCTCATACAAAGGGGTCTTCACTTTGGCCACAAACGAGGACTTTTACGTTTTTTGAAAGCTGTAATTTTATGGAAATACAGTGCCTTGCGAAAGTATTCGGCCCCCTTGAACCTTTCAACATTTCGCCACATTTCAGGCTTCAAACATAAAGATATAAAAATTAATTTTTTTGTCAAGAATCAACAACAAGTGGGACACAATCGTGAAGTGGAACGAAATGTATTGGATAATTTAAACTTTTTTAACAAATAAAAAACTGAAAAATGGGGCGTGCAATATTATTCGGCCCCTTGTGCTAATACTTTGTAGCGCCACCTTTTGCTGCAATTACAGCTGCAAGTCGCTTGGGGTATGTCTCTATCAGTTTTGCACATCGAGAGACTGGAATTCTTGCCCATTCTTCCTTGCAAAACAGCTCGAGCTCAGTGAGGTTGGATGGAGAGCGTTTGTGAACAGCAGTCTTCAGCTCTTTCCACAGATTCTCGATTGGATTCAGGTCTGGACTTTGACTTGGCCATTCTAACACCTGGATACGTCTATTTGTGAACCATTCCATTGTAGATTTGGCTTTATGTTTTGGATCATTGTCCTGTTGGAAGATAAATCTCCGTCCCAGACTCAGGTCTTTTGCAGACTCCAACAGGTTTTCTTCCAGAATGGTCCTTTATTTGGCTCCATCCATCTTCCCATCAATTTTAGCCATCTTCCCTGTCCCTGCTGAAGAAAAGCAGGCCCAAAGCATGATGCTGCCACCACCATGTTTGACAGTGGGGATGGTGTGTTCAGGGTGATGAGCTGTGTTGCTTTTACGCCAAACATATCGTTTTGCATCGTGGCCAAAAAGTTCGATTTTGGTTTCATCTGACCAGAGCACCTTCTTCCACATGTTTGGTGTGTCTCCCAGGTGGCTTGTGGCAAACTTTAAACGAGACTTTTCATGGATATCTTTGAGAAATGGCTTTCTTCTTGCCACTTTTCCATAAAGGCCAGATTTGTGCAGTGCACGACTGATTGTTGTCCTATGGACAGACTCTCCCACCTCAGCTGTAGTTATCTGCAGTTAAGTAAGTAAGTTAGTAAGCTTTATTTATATACCGCCTTTCACAGACCAGAGTCACAAAGCGGTTTACAATTGTTATTTTTTTTGGGCACTTGTCTCTCACTCCACACAGAGATGGGAGCGGGGTCGCCGAACAGGAGGCGCATGCCAGACCTATTGTACATATTTTTAGTGGTAGGGGAAACCTACGCAGACACGGGGAGAACATGCAAACTCCACTCAGAAAGGCCCTGGCCTTCTTGCTGAGAGGCGAGAGTGCTATCCACTCAGCCAACGTGCCGCCCAGTTCATCCAGAGTGATCATGGGCCTCTTGGCTGCATCTCTGATCAGTCTTCTCCTTGTTTGAGATGAAAGTTTAGAGGGACGGCCGGGTCTTGGTAGATTTGCAGTGGTCTGATACTCCTTCCATTTCAATATAATTGCTTGCACAGTGCTCCTTGAGATGTTTAAAGCTTGGGAAATCTTTTTGTATCCAAATCCGGCTTTAAACTTCTCCACAACAGTATCTCGGACCTGCCTGGTGTGTTCCTTTGTCTTCATGGTTCTCTCTGTGCTTTAAACAGAACCCTGAGACTATCAAAGAGCAGGTGCATTTATACGGAGACTTGATTACACACAGGTGCATTCTATTTAAGATAAGATAAGAATTCCTTTATTCGTCCCACAGTGGGGAAATTTCGATGTTGCATCGCACATATAGGACAGTAGTAAGAGCACACAGGGATCACACACAATATATACACTATATACAAATAAGTAGTAGCTATGTTTCTTAACTAACATAACTAGCTGTAGATGCTGAAAATGCTTCAATACCAGTCAAAAAATATATGTGGTAGTGCAGTTATATACTGTACAGTTAAATAGTGCAGGATAAAAAGTATATAAGTAAAGTGACATTGTTCTGTGACATCCTGAAGTTGCAGTATTGCACATTTCACATGATTTAAGAATTTACTTAATTACAGATGAATGAAATTTACAGGCTCAGCAGTTCGTATTGTACAGTCTGACAGCAGCAGCAAGGAAAGACCTACGGAACCTCTCCTTCACACAGCGAGGGTGAATTAGTCTGTCACTGAAGCTGCTCTCCAGAGCAGAAAGAGTGTCCTGCAGGGGGTGACAGTCATGGTCCAGCATAGATGTTAGTTTGCTCAGGACCCTCCTGTCCCCCACCTGCTGCACTGTGTCCAGGGAACAGCCCAGGACTGAGCTGGACTTCCTGATGACCTTGTCTAGCTTCTTCCTGTCCCTCTCTGTGATACAAGAGGCTGATGCCACCACAGAGTCATAGAAGGTCTTCAGGAGTGGCCCCTGCACTCCAAAAGACCTGAGCCTCCTCAGTAGGTAGAGGCGACTCTGGCCCTTCTTGAAGAGGGCGTCTGTGTTATGAGTCCAGTCCAGTTTGTGGTTCAGATGAACACCCAGGTACTTGTAAGAGTCCACTCTCTCGATGTCCTTTCCCTGGATGTTCACTGGAGCTGGAGCGGCAGAGTGACGTCTGCGGAAATCCACCACCATCTCCTTGGTCTTCCTCACGTTGATGAGGAGGTGGTTCATCTCCTTAGTCTTCCCCGCGTTGATGAGGAGGTGGTTCATCTCCTTAGTCTTCCCCGCGTTGATGAGGAGGTGGTTCATCTCCTTAGTCTTCCCCGCGTTGATGAGGAGGTGGTTCATCTCCTTAGTCTTCCCCGCGTTGATGAGGAGGTGGTTCATCTCCTTAGTCTTCCCCGCGTTGATGAGGAGGTGGTTCCGCTGACACCAGTCCACAAAGTCCTGTATAACTCTGTGTCATCGTCCTCGGAGCTGAGTCCGATGATGGCAGAGTCGTCAGAGAACTATGATATGGCTATCATCATCAGTCATTTAGGACAACATTGGATCATTCAAAGATCCTCACTGAACTTCTGGAGTGAGTTTGCTGCACTGAAAGTAAAGGGGCCGAATAATATTGCACGGCCAACTTTTCAGTTTTTTATTTGTTAAAAAAGTTTAAATTATCTAATACATCTCGTTCCACTTCACGATTGTGTCCCACTTGTTGTTGATTCATGACAAAAAATTTAAAATTTATATCTTTATGTTTGAGCCTGAAATGTGGCGAAATGTTGAAATACTTTCGCAAGGCACTGTAGTATGAGAGGATTGAGAATATAAATAAAAACAAGACAAATTCTTTCTGCTCACAGTGAAATCCAGAATGAGACACGTTTTGCTGCTGCTTTGTCTCGGTAAGAAGTTTACACATTGTTTGTGCTAAGTTTGTGTTGAAGTTGTATTTGTTTAGGTGATGTTTGCATGTTCTCTCTCACTCTTCCATAACAGAAGAGAATACATGGCTCACAGTTGTGTAAAACTATAGTGTAAGTCTAAAGTCTTACTGTTTAATGTCTGCTTCTTCTCTAGGCTGTGGCCCAGTTCTAAGCTCCCGCTTTCCTCTTCGTCGATACTTCTACGTGGACATTGAAAAAACCTGGGATGAAGCTCGAGCCTATTGCCGGCAGAAGCACTCAGACCTGGCCATATTCTCCAGTGTGGAGGAGGCGCAGCTGGCCCTCAAACCGGCCGGCTTCAGCAGCTCCTCTGCTTGGATCGAGATTCATGATGATCCCCAGAACTGGAAAGGGAACATGACCGACAAGGCCAACTCCTGGAAGTGGTCTGCCACAGGCCGGGGCAGTCAGAGCGGCTACCAGAACTTCGACTTGGATCTGGGTAGGTTTCCTCCAGGTGCTCCAGTTTCCCCTACCACTAAACACACTCAAATGAGTGAGTGAATGGATGGTGTTGGTTAGGGGTTTGATTTGCGCTGTATAAATAAACCTTACTTAGTTACTCCCAGGGCGACCAAACTTCTGGTCTGGAGAACTGCATGGTCATGAACCCGACTGAGGGTAACATTTCGTCTGCTTCACGGGTACGGCTTTCAAAACATTTATAACAAGATATTTACATAAGTCCTGCTATGATTGTTTCAGGAGTGCAATAATGAGGGACACAGAGACCAGAGGACTGGGTGGTCCTCACAGAGACCAGAGGACTGGGTGGTCCTCACAGAGACCAGAGGACTGGGTGGTCTTCACAGAGACCAGAGGACTGGGTGGTCCTCACAGAGACCAGAGGACTGGGTGGTCTTCACAGAGACCAGAGGACTGGGTGGTCTTCACAGAGACCAGAGGACTGGGTGGTCCTCACAGAGACCAGAGGTGCCAAAGATGTTTGATTGAACCTCAAGGACTGAGCCTTCTGAACTTTCTAGAACTCTTTCCTCAGGGTTCAAGAACAAGTATAACTAACTAGCGATGCAGGAGGGTCTGAGGAGAGTGGTGAGGATATGTGTGTGAGTCTCCCAACAGCTTACTCAATATGTTCCAGTCTGGCTTTAGACCTCACCACAAACTCTGAGAAATTACTTTAAATGTATCACTAATGCAGGAAAGTCTGTCTTAGTCATGTTAGATCTGAGAGCAGCTTTCCACACTGTCGACCATGACATCCTCATGAGGAGACCAGAGGACTGGGTGGTCCTCACAGAGACCAGAGGACTGGGTGGTCCTGGGTGGTCCTAAAGTCAATATTTGCTTTAACCACCATTCCCTTTGGCACAGGCACAATAATAGACTCTTTCCAGATCTCGGAACACTTTGTTGTGCTAGTGTGGTGGTTTAAAATCTGGTTGATTTGACAAAGCGTTTGGTTTATTAATGTGACCATTTTCAGGTCATTCTTTTTCACCTGTAGGTATGAATAATAAATGTTATCTATCTGCCCAAAAATAATTGTCAACTGTTTGATATGCAATAGTATATTCTTTTTAAACAAACATGAATGAACTCACCTCCTCAGGAGAGCGTGGCACCTCCTCAGGAGAGCGTGGCTGTTTACAGAGGCTGTAATGGCCTTCCAGATTCTATTCTTCAGAGTCTCCTTAATGCCACTTTTGAGGCTTCCAAACAATAATATTTTGTTTTTTTAAACTTCATTCATTATTATCTCTATCTCCTGCTCCGTGAAATTTGTTTTCTTCTTCCTCTCTGCCATGTCAAAAAAAGGGGGCGAGAAACAAGCGGTTTCTGAATATTGAAAGGCGTGACTTTCTTAATTACGTTCGTTTTCAGCCGCCACATTTATCGACAGGTGCAGCTGCGTACGCTGAAATATGGGCGGATCTCACACGTTCATAAACTCGGCGTGTATGGAATATACACCCTTTGCTGCGCAAGTTTCATAAATGAGGCCCAATGTCTGTTTTTGTGCCACACTGACATTTAGATTTGGAGGTTTGCTTCTCCATCATTGTGGCCGGTCTGTACATTTATTTGTTTTTTGGGTATAATCACAAATACTAACTTGACGTTAGCCTTAAAACCTGTTGTGTGCTTCTTTGGGGTGGAATCTATCAATTACTTAACTGTTGATCTTTTTATAACCAGCCTCCTTTTCAAATCTAGCTTTAGAAAACCTTAGAACCTTGGAGTGTTAACTAGCAGAACGATCATCGAAGGGTCACAGTCATGGCGAGTCAGCAGGAGGTTGGTACAGGAAAAGAATAGAATCCACTCCACAAAGAAGAAGAAGACTCCAAACTCCACTATGGCCAAGACCAAAGAGCTGTCGAAGGACACCGGGAAAATAATTGTAGACCTGCACCAGACTGGGAAGAGTGAATCTACAATAGTCAAGCAGCTTGGTGTGAACAAATCAACTGTGGGAGCAATTATCAGAAAATGGAAGACATACAAGACCACTGATAATCTCCCTTGATCTGGGGCTCCACGCAAGATCTCATCCCGTGGGGTTAAAATGATCATGAGAACAGTGATCAAAAATCCCAGAACCACACGGGGGGACCTGGTGAATGACCTGCAGAGAGCTGGGACCAAAGTAACAAAGGTTACCATCAGTAACACACTACAACGACAGGGAATCAAATCCTGCAGTGCCAGACGTGTCCCCCTGCTGAAGCCAGTGCATGTCCAGGCCCGTCTGAAGTTTGCCAGAGATCACATGGATGATACAGGCCCGTCTGAAGTTTGCCAGAGAGCACATGGATGATACAGCAGAGGATTGGGAGAATGTCATGTGGTCAGATGAAACCAAAGTACAACTGTTTGGTATAAACTCAACTCGTCGTGTTTGGAGGAAGAAGAATACTGAGTTGCATCCCAAGAACACCATACCTACTGTGAAGCATGGGGGTGGAAACGTCATGCTTTGGGGCTGTTTTTCTACTAAGGGGACAGGACGACTGATCCGCGTTAAGGAAAGAATGAATGGGGCCATGTATCGTGAGATTTTGAGCCAAAACCTCCTTCCATCAGTGAGAGCTTTGAAGATGAATCGTGGCTGGGTCTTCCAGCATGACAATGATCCCAAACACACCGCCCGGGCAACGAAGGAGTGGCTCCGTAAGAAGCATTTGAATGTCCTGGAGTGGCCTAGCCAGTCTCCAGACCTCAACCCCATTGAAAATCTGTGGAGGGTGTTGAAAGTCCGTGTTCACTGCTCTTGAGAAGATCTGCATGGAGGAATGGGCCAAAATACCAGCTACTGTGTGTGCAAATACAATACAATACAATACAATTTATTCTTGTATAGCCCTAGGTCACAACAGAAGTAATCTCAGAGACTTAACAAAACCATTGAAATCACCAACACAGGTCAGAGAATCAACAGTTAAAACACATGAAGAATATAAAGCACACACAGAAGAAAATGTCCATACATGTTGTAGAATGCTAAAGTGTCCTGATCATCACCAATCCTTTCTGTTGGACACTAACTGTCCAACAAGACCCTCCTGCATCGACAAGGAAAAACTCTTAAAAAACCCAGTGGGAAAAAGTGAGAAACCTTGGAGGAGAACTAGGGAAACCCCAGCAAACCTGGTAAAGACCTATAGTAATCTCTTGACCTGTTATTACCAACAAAGGTTATATTACAAAGTATAGAGTTGAATATTTGTTATTGACCAAATATTTATTTTTCACCATAATTTACAAATACATTCTTTAAAAAAAATGTGAATTCCTGGATTTTATTTTCACATTCTGTCTCTCACAGTTGAAGTGAACCTATGATGAACATTACAGACCTCTGTCATTATTTTAAGTGGGAGAATCGGTGGCTGACTAAATACTTTTTTGCCCCACTGTAGGTGCTCTGACTTTATGATGAATGAAACCTTCGCGTAATCCCCGTGAACGGTGTTTAACGCTTCATTGTTCCTCGTGTTACAACAAAACTTCTCGTTACAAACATGAAGCAGTCCTTCCTCGTTGACTGAAAGCAAATGTTCATTCTTGTTCTTAGTCCAGTTTTATTATCGACTCTTTCTCGTTTTAGCTTTAGGATCCCTGTGCACTTACAGTCTATAATGCACACGTCGGTTTGTTTACAGCGGCGCCCGGCGCGGGGCGTGTCACAGGATATGACGCACTACGTTGACAGAAATGTTGAAATTGAATATTACTTACACATTTTTACAGCTTTTAAAAACGTTAAGAATGATTTTCCTCCTACAGAAACCAAACCCAAACTAGAAATAAGATATAGCCCTCCCACTCCACTTTCAGACATTTTTGAAAAAGCTCCAGGAGCCTCTGGAGGAGCCTCTGGAGGAGCCTCTGGAGGAGCACTAAAGAGCTCCGGGGCTCCGGGGCCGCGGGTTGCCGACCCCTGAGATAGGTGGTCACTGTACATCAAAGGGTTAATGCACAGTGACCCTAAAAATGTACATGCATTATTAATCTGTGTGTGTGTGCGTGTGCGCGTGTGTGTATGTATGTGTGTGTGTGTGTGTGTGTGTATGTGTGTGTGTATGTGTGTATGTGTGTGTGTATGGATGTGTGTGTGTGTGTCTCTAGTGTGCATTAAGAGCATGAAAATGTGAAAAAAAACTTGTTTTGTCACTGATCAATAGTTGCACTAAAAATGGTCTTGGTGTTTTCTTTTGTATCACGTAGAGAACGGTGTGAAGGACCCACGAGTCGAGCCGTTGGAGTTTGTAAAAAGGCGGTTGCTGCTTTTCCTTTAGTTGGATGAAAAGAGGAGAGATGGTGAAGTACAAGATGGGTTCACGTCAAAAAAGGGTTGAGAGATTTCTCAAACAGGAGAAGGCCATTGTTCGTGTCCTGGGCTCCGACCAGAAAAGGCGTCATCTTGTGCCCACTTGGCAAGATATTGAGGTTTTAGAGTCTGTAAATAAAGCCGTAAAACCACTTACAGACGCCGTGTCTGGGGAGGCTTATGTCAGTGTCTCCTGCATTCAACCGGTGCTGCATTTGTTCAAAACCAATCTCTTACAGCCAGTGGAGGAAGACACTGAACTCACACAATAAAAAGAAACATAATGCGGTACCTTGATGACAAATACAGTGACCCTGTGAAGAACATTTGGAAATGTCCTCACTGATGGACCCCAGGTTGACCCAGACAATGTGGAACAGGTCAGAGAAGAGAACACTCCACACTACAGCAGCCTGGTCCAGCTGTGCCGGAGCCAACGAGAAGCAAAGTCTCCACCCAATAAGAAAATGACTTTAGCTGCTTTCTTCAAGAAGAATGGGCCAGAACCAGAGCCTTGTTCTCACCGATCAGAGGCACTGAAAGTGCAGACAGAACTGTCAACCTCCTGACCCCTGAGATAGACCCAGACACTGAACCACTTCAGTGGTGGAAGCGTCATGAACCAAACTCCCAAGGCATGAATACAACTTCTTTGTCATGGTGTGGATTTTATTTTGGACTTTAGCTTTTATTTTGATATCTGTTCTCTGTGCTTTGTTTTAGTTTGGCTTTGACGTCCTGTTTCCCGTGTCTTGATTGTCTGCCCCGCCCTGATGTGTTTCACCTGTGTCTCTGTCTATAATTACCCTGTGCTTCTCTCCTCTTGTTGCTGCTTCATTCTGTCATGTAGTGAGATGAAAACAAAACTCAAAATACAGAACCAGGAACACAAAACCAGGAACACAAAACCAGGAACAGGACAGAGCAGAGGTTGACAATACAATGGACCAGCAACAAGAGGAGAGGAGCACAGGGTAATTATAGACAGAGAGACAGGTGAAACACATCAGGGCGGGGCAGACAATCAAGACACGGGAAACAGGACGTCAAAGTCAAACTAAAACAAAGCACAGAGAACAGATATCAAAATAAAGCTAAAGTCCAAAATAAAATCCACACCATGACATTCTGTATGTATTCTTTTAATCTAATTTGGTCA